AACCAATTAACATCGTTAAGCGAGGCACCACTGTACTTCCTGACGTTTCGCTAGTCTCTGTGGCCGGCATCTTGAGAGGACAGCAACCTGCTGTCTTCTGAAGATGCCAGCCACAGAGACTGGCGAAACGTCAGGAAGTACAACCATCAGAACACGGCCAAAGAGCCCGAAAAACCCAGAACAACCATTAGATCCCGGCCGTGAAAGCCTTTGCGAATATATTTCATGTTCTTATTTAACACTCGTGTTGAAAGATGCATATATACAAGTCCAGATGAGTCAAACTGAATTTCATAACTTGGTTATTTCTTCTTATTTTCTCTGTTAAGATGTGTATCCTGTCAGAATCTTTCTGAAAATTATAGCAGGTCTTCAGTTTCTACTTATTTTACATGTTTCTTTTTGTTTGTGTTTTCCTGTCTTGATACTTGCAGGCAAACCCTGTGGAAACGGGTTCAAAGTGTTGTGACTCCATTTCTGGCTTATATTGTGTCGGTCATAGACAGAGACTGCAACATGAACCTGTTGGACAATTCAGAGACAGAATATTGTGTGAAAGCCCTGTGGATGTTCATCTTCAATGATCAGAAGCTTCTAAATATCCCATATGTCGTGGGTCAGAGCAGGTAAGCTGCATAAAAAAAGATGCTCAGAAACTGGTCACTTCTTGCATCCACATGACTGAATAGCTTGTTTAGGTGGCATGCACCATCATCATGCTTCTTTGATTGTTCATTTCTGTGTCGTTGTGGCTTGTGAGAGGCATTTGATAGCTATTTCCTTCTCAGGATTGATGATGTTCTTCTTCATGGTCTCTGTGAATGAACACTATAGGGTTTAATCTGCGCTTGCACAGAGATTTCTGGAATATTCTAGAGCTTTATAACGTGTTCGCCAGGACCGCCCCCCCCCAGCACATGTGGTTCGCCTGTCCTAGCGATTCTCTCAGTTCCTTTTTGCTGCCACTGAGGTTTCACCTCTCGTTGAGCTCTCTGTTCACCACTGTTTTTGTTTTCTTCCTATCATAAAACTAACAGAGAGAAAATCGTAAGAGACCCTTTGAGCTATTTCACTCTTTTTTTGATCACCCCCTTTCCTTCCCCGCCTCCCATTTATGGCCCCTATACCGCTGTTCAAACGATGCACTTTGTGCTCCAACAAGATCCCCCTCTCAGACGGACACAATCTTTGTCTAATTCTTCCTCGGGGAGTCTCACCAGCCATCTGCGTACCAGTTCTGTAAACACTTTACTAAACAAGCTCTGACACTCAGATATCAATGTCTTAGATCCGTTCTTTATGCCCAGCAGAAACTATGGAGGCTTCCCAAACTTCTCAGCCCCATGAAGGGTCCCCCGAGATGTCTACCGCTTCTCCGACAACTAAGCTACCAGCTTCTAAATCCAAATCTAAGTCCAGTTCTAAGCCTTAGTCTTCAACATCAACTACTAAGTTGATACTGGTACCGAACCTTCCTTTGGTACTGGAAAACCCCAAACCTAAGAAGACTAAGAAATCCTCTTTGGATTCCTAGTCTGTTAAAAGGTCTACGTTACCCGACAAGACTACTCCAACAGTTCCTTTGCAGGACCAACCTACTGTCTGCCTTGACTCTCCAGATGATGATTTTTTTTTGCCACCACCATCTGGTCAACCACCGTCCGCACTACGTGCCCAGTCTCCATTTTGGGCTAACACATCAGCAGAGGTGACAGTCATCTCCCAGTCGGCACATTTGAGCCCCAAATCCATGGGTTGCTCAGTCTCTGTTTGCGATTCGGAGTCGGTGTCTGCTCTACTTGACCCATCATCTCCGCGTAAGCGGTCAAGGAAGACTCACCACATGCCAAAGACTTGCCAATCTGATGCCGGTCCTGCACAACCTCCGACTTCTACAGGGTTGTTGGCATCCCATGAGTCTTTGATTCAATATCATCATCCAAAATGGGTGACGCTCTATGAACCACCAACTTATTATGAGCCTTTGCCCAAGCTCTATCAGCATCAAGCATATTGATATTGACAACCCAATACCGAACTTTACATCGAGCCTAAACGCTCACAATATGGATATTACTACCCATCTGATGTATTGGATTCACCTTCTTCTCCTCAGTGCTGGCCACGGTCCCATGACTACTACCAAACCTCATCCAAGGATGACACCGCATGTTTACCTCTGGTACTGAAACAACCTAGATTCTCTCGCAAGAGGAATCATCTCCCTGAGTCTCTCATAGAACAACAACCAACAGTACCAAGACAATCTCTCTCATCAGTTAAGGGTCCACTTTTGGCTACTGAGCCCACTACTGTCTCACAGGTTTGCACTTCTTCATTAACAGTAACAACTACATATATCGGACCTCCACCTGCGCCTCTTGGTACTGCTCAGCCTCGTAAAAAGAGACACTCTAAATCTCATCAGTCTACAACTCGATCCGTCCCAGCCAAACAAGCTCTGGACAAGCTTGCCCGTTTCGTATCAGAGCCTCGTCCCGATACCTCTGTTCCTCTGTATCATCATGCTTCTCAAACATCATTGCCACAAATTTCTGATTCAGATACCTCTGAGTCCTTACCACTGCAGGAGTCCCCCACTAATCAGCTCACACCAGACTCAGACGTAGCGGACGTCATCCCTCACTCACCTTCGGAGGATTTCTCATACTACTCACAGCTAGCGCTTTTTATAGCTAAAGCCATGGACCTGGATGTCCAGCAACCAAACCCAGTCTGAATCTGATAAGGTGTATGAGGACATTAATGAGGACCAGACACCATCGCTCCGTATGGGATTTATTCCATCCTTGTTGAAGCTAACCAAACAGCCATGGTTTTATCCATTCTCCATACCACAAATGTCTCGCAGAGTGGAAAATGCATGGAGATGACACTGTTTTTTCTTTCAAAGCTTCCATACCCAAATTCTGTTATTGTGGATGCTACACAAAAGAGAGCATGAAATCACTCTAATGCAACTCCTAACAACAAAGAAGGCAGAAAACTAAACATTATTGGATGCAGAGTTTATTCTCTTACCTCCTTTACTCTCCGTGGTGCCAATTATCTTGCAGCTATTGGAGCCTATCATCGTTACCTCTAGAATAGGGCTCTCCCAACACTCCATTCAGCCACAGATGAGTATAAAGCCCATGGCCTCGCCTCTCACCAAGAAGCTATGGCCATGGATTGTCAGGAGCACATTACCACATGACATGTAATTGAAGCCACATCCAAATACATGGGCTATTGATGTAGCCCTTCGTAGCCATGCTTGGCTTCACTCAGCCCACATTTCAGATGATGGCCACATGTGAATTGAAGACTTACCCTTTGATGGCACTGGCCTTTTTGATGACAAAACTGACGAAATACCGTATTTTTCCATGTATAAGACCCCACCACCACTTTTATAACCGCAAATTTCTTTTTTTGCAAGAAAGTAGAGGGTGGAAGCAACTTCTGCTTTCAGTATAAGACCCCACCACCACTTTTATAACCCCAAATTTCTTTTTTTTTGCAAGAAAGTGGAGGGTGGAAGCAACTTCTGCTTTCCCCCTACATTTTCGTTGCAAACATTTTGCACGAGTGGACTCTCGACCAGGCTGTTTTTCTCTGCCTTTGCAAACTCTGGGGATGACCTGGCATAGACATATTTGCCACATCCCAAAACTCAAAATACTGTCTCTTTTGGTCTAGGGCAGGCAAAGGCTCAGGCTCCCTCGGGGATGTTCTCGTGATCAATTGGTCCACAAATGTCATATATCTGTTCCTGCCTATCCCTTCTCAGGACGATAGTCAAAATTCCTCAAGACCAATCCAACGTTATTCTCATCACCCCATGGTGGTCCAGGCAGCCGTGGTTCACCATATTCCACTCCATCTCCACAGACTGCATTCACCTGCCCTCCATTCCTCACCTCCTCACTGAACACCAGGGCAGAACTTACCATCCTGACCTTCATGCTCTCCATCTCACAGCATGGGGGATTCACCCTCAGTGATCACCATTTTAGCCAGTGCGCAAAAGTCTGCTACAACACAACTTTATTCTTATAATTGGGACGTTTTCCAAAAATTTGCAATGCAGCACAACCTTCCAAACAATCCAACAACTCTTCATGTAGTCCTTACATTCCTTTCATCTTTTTTTGTAAGCAGCTTTTCCTGTCCACCCTCAAGGTTTACATTTCCGCCATGGTCGCACATCAGCCTCAAGACTCAGACACGGCTCTACTCTTTCATCACCCTACGTTAAAACAGTTCCTCAAGGGTGTCGCCAATATGTGATCTCCTGCACCTCCTCCACCTCCGCAGTGGTCCCTACATACCGTCCTCCAACATCTCACGCTTTCTCCCTTTGAATCACTTGCTACCACATCTGAGCGCTTCCTCTCCTTTAAGACTCTTTTTCTAGTGGCCATTACTTCAGCTTGTGTAGAGCCTCAGAACTGGCTACTCTTCGGGTAAACCCTCCATTCCTCCAATTCCACCCTGACAAAGTTACTCTGTCTCCTTTCTCCCAAAGATTGTATCAGACTTCCACCTCAAACAACCTGTTGTTTTACCTACCATTTTTCCATCATTGACAACTGACTTCGAATGTTCCTTCCATATGTTGGATGTCAGACGAGCCTTTGCATTTTATGTTTCACGAACTTCCTCCTTCCGCAAGTCAAAATGACTCTTTGTAATGCCACATCTGCCTCATAGAGGTTCTCACATTTCTTCTCAGCTGGATTGTCTCTTGCTGGATTGTCACAACTATAAAGTTGGCATGCCAACTCACCAAAAGCCCCTGCCTGTAGGCATTAAAGTTCACTCCATCAGGGCTCTTGCTACCTCCACAGCCTTTCTCTGAGGAGTACCTCTCCCAGGCATCTGTAAGGCTGCTACCTAGGCAACCCCTTCTGTGTTTGTCACCCATTACCTCCTGGATGTCAGGGCTAAGACGGATGCAGCATTTGGTAGGGCTGTACTCTCTTCTGTCCTTCCATGACGTCCTTCCTCCAGTAAGTCAGCTTGTTAATCACCCTATAGTGTGCATTCACAGAGACCACGAAGAAGAAAGAGAGGTTACTTACCTGTAACTCTGGTTCTTCAGGTGAATTCACACTTCTCACCCGTCCTTCCCTCTGTCCGTCACGTCAGTTCCTTTTTGCTAGTGGCAGACTGTTCTTAAGAACTGAGGTGATTGCCAGGATGGGCAGACCATGTGTACTAGGGGGGCGGTCCCGGCGAATGCGTGATAAAACTCTAGAATATTCCGGAAACCTCTGCACAAGCGCAGATTAAACCCTATAGTGTGAATTCACAGATGACCACTCGAAGAACCAGAGTTACAGATAAGTAACCTCTCTTTTTGGCAGAAACCTATTTAAAGGATGTTGTCAGTACACACTACTTGCTGGCTTTCCCAATCAGCAGCTGGTGTTCTTGCTGCTATTTTGCATCTCATCAGTAGATAGCCGCCTCTGTTCCTTTTGGGTTTCCAGGCAGTTTTGAACTCTTGATGTTTGAGAGTTCTGAATTGCACACAGTATTCATGGGGAGAGAAGGCCCTCTACTGGAGACAGTCCCCATGTGTTTGTTGTAAACCGTCCAGAATGGCCTTGGCCAGATGGGCAGTATAACAATGAAACCAGTCAATCTATTTATCTATAAATGAAGGGCAGGGAGGGTTGTGATAGTGGAGAGGGCAAAGTTGGCATATTTCTCCGTGTTTGTTTCTATGTTCTAAAGTGACTGTCTCCTTCCTGAAATGAAATATAAGCTGTCTGTCTCACAAAGAGCTCATCATATCCTTATGAGCGGTAGCTCAACTAGAGATGAATGGAAGATAGATGAGTTCTAATGAAGTTGCTGAACTTTGATGGTACCACTTTGTATATAAGTTGCTGGGAAGACAAGTGGGTAGGAGTGTGTGCTGCGTTCATGAACTCATGTTGGCTTCCCAATAGGCATACAGTTGACCCTTCTGCAAACAGATAACCGGATTAGATAGCCTTTCAGTCTGCTTGAACATGACTCTTGACATGTTCACAAGCAATGTGGCACATTTGCCTATCAGAAAATACCTTCAGAAAAATAGACTGAACCAGCTTGTTTTTTTAAACACAGCACTGTATCCTTTTGTCCAGTATATAAACAATGGTATCACTCAAACACACATTCATCAGTAATTATGAGGTAGCCATCGCACAAACTGTATCCCCTATTCATGTCACCCTGTATTCGGTGTTTTTGTTTATTTGTTTGAATAGATCATATTTCATTTATACCTTGATCAAAGGCAGCCATTATAACTTGCTTTTTTTTCAAATTCACTTTTACTTATGAATAGCTTACAGTCAAAAAAATTTGTGTCTTGCCCAGCTCCCGGACTGAGACAATTCTGGTGCAAAATTACTTTGAGGTATCAGCAGATGCTGGCAATAATATGCCTTTCAGTTGGAGGATAAAAGATTATTTGGAAGACATTTGGGTTCAAGCCCAATACATCACGGACAATAAGGGTAAGAATGCAGAGAACGATTCAGTTACTATATCTTGTTGGAAAATTCAGTAGTATATTTTGAGCTGCTCTGAAGGGTCCCTCATGAGGCACCATATGCTATTCTGCCATTTAATTGCCTTCTTTTCTGGTCCTAAGTTCCATGTCTGTCTAGCATCATTTAATAACATCAGAAAGTAACTATTCATCCAAAACTACTTAGCAAATGTTTCGTATTGTTCAGCTAAGTTGAAAGTTGGCTGTAAGTCCTCCTCTCTTCTTAGGAAAGTGTGCATAAGAATAAGAGTAGTGCCATTTCTGTGTTAGTCCCAGAGCCATCAAGAAAGACACCTAGTTTTGTGTTTTCAAATATCAGTGCAGAACTCTCTAGAAATGGATTGTTGTAAAAATATGTTGCTAAACTGTTTGCTTTATATGCTAAAACTGTACTTGCTACCTGTTAAGAAACTCACTATGCCTAAAATGAGAGATTTTGCCCCTATCTTAAATTCAGTACTAAAGCGTACATTTCTGAGTAGTTTGCTGCTGTAAATAATAAAGCAGTTCAGACTATTAAGAATTCTGATGCTATAACCTTATTTTTTCTATTATCTTCCAGGCCCTGCAGAGAAGTTTGTATACATTTTTCACCAAACATCACTAGGGACCTATATTGCCAGTCTGTCTGAGGGAGAAAAGGAAGTACTTTTCCACTGTTACCTTACAGATTTCCTTCTCTTGGCAATGGGTGTGTCCTCTGGTAGGGAATTAATTGTGAGTATTATAGCAAGGAATGAGTAGTTTCTTGTAACAAAGGATGTGCAAATTATGATGCTTAGCAGTTCTTTCCCCTGTTATCTGCCAGAATCAGGCTGTGACTAGCAGCTGATTATCACTGAGGTGATCTGCCCTTCCAGGTATTGGAACATACTGTAAATAAGATGCATTAACTACTGAAAGATTTTTTATTTTGCACAAACAAAATATTTTTATTTTGAAAACAAAAGCCTGAAAGACTGTATGCATTATGACTGAAATTAAGTTTACTTAATGAAAAATGAAGCATTACTTAAATAATAAGTAAATAAATAAATAAATAAAAATCTCTAGAGCAAATTAAAGACTTCTGAAAATATATCCTATACTGTGTATTATTAAGATGAATTATTCAGTGTTTAAAGCCTTGTTTTACATTTTCAGTTGCAGCAAACGGCACTCTTGTCATGCATAGAAGAAATGAAGGCATCTTCTCCCACTGCAGACAAGATGGTGCCACCTCTCCCCTGGATCCACTTGGCGTACCATCAGTTCAAGAGTCGGTTGCAAAACTTGTCTAGGATTCTGGCTGTATACCCTGACGTATTTGCTGCTCTTAGTGCATATGCTGAGGAGGGAGGGTACATGCCACATGACCAAATGGTAAGTAGGGCAGGAAGAAGCATATAATATTTAGTCTTATGAGGAAAAAAAACAGAGTAAAAAAAAGAAGGAAAGAAATGGGGAAAAGCCCCTCTTTGTTTGTGGTATCCTTAACTGTTTAGAAAGACAAATCTCGTTAAAGATCTTAGCTAGAAGTCACGCAGAGTTTCTCAAAGTGCCCATATCTGTGGCACATCTGCTCTGTTTTCCAGTCATATCCTGTACCAGATTGCTTACACATAATGGTTTACAGTGTAATTTTCTAAATGTACATAGTGAACATTTTCACAGTTTCCCTGCAAGAGTGAAATGAAATGATACTTGAAGGATACTGCCTATGCTCGAGCCCATTGTTAATTGCTAAATGAATACACTGGGCTGAAAAAAGTAAGATGAAATGTAAAGTTAGTGCTCAGGAAAGGGAATGCAGTTACTAAAGGACATGGGAGGGAACCTTCTCTGTGGTAGCTCCCAGATTGTGAAGTGCTCTTCCTCTTTTTATTTACCCTGTTTGTTATTTAAATAAACCTTGTTCTTTTGTTTAGTAAAATCCATTCCTGGTCTGTGTGACTTCTTATAGGGAATGGTTGGTGGCAGCATAATTATAGTGTGGCATACTCCAGTAGGTCTGGGGTTGCCACAAGGTATTATATTAAAATAATCAATAAAACCCATACTAAAATCACATTTAAAAAAATAATGGAACACAACAGTCCATTCAAACCACCAGCACCCCAAGGTAAGCCTGCCCCCCTTGCCCTTTTGCCAACAGTTAAAGACCTGCCTTTTAAGACAAGTTTTTAATAACTAAATTGGGCAATATTGAGTCTCCTATTAAATGTGTTTTTAAAGCATTTAAATGTTTAAAATGAACATTTTTAATTCCTATCCTATATGTAATAGTTTCTTAGCTGTAATTTATTGTATTTTTTAAGTCCAACTTATTCATATATGAGCCTTCCTAGGTCCTTTCCATGCCACCTTTCACCCTGAAAGGTGGCATGGAAATAACAGGAGTACATCAATACCCTGTATGCTGTTTAATTTCAGTTTCCAGCATTTGCAAGGGGGAAAGCTCAGCATTCAAGATAATATTAATCTATAGATTAATTGCTTTGATTAGAGAGAGGGTACACTAGACAGTCTCAACCAGGTTTTCAGTCGTAATTGTAGGAAGCTGATTGTTCGGCTTGCTCTCTGTTTCCGTAGTAAAAGTCCTTTTCATGTCTGGTTATCGTAGGTACTGGACTTGCTTGCTGCGGTGGCCTGCACTGAAATGTTGGAAGAAAACATGTCAAACTTTAGGCCTCAAGGTTGGCTCCAGAAGGTGAAGGAAGTTCAAATGCCAGTTGAACTTGTTTGCACAGAAAATTATTTACAAAGTAGCAGAGACCAGTGCTACCAATTGCTCCAGAAAGTCAAGTAAGCAAGACATGGCAAAGCATGGAAGTGCTATTTGTACACCTCCCTGCATGATTATTGTATGGAAGCCTCTCCCTCCTATCATGCCATGTCTCCATTTATCTCTCACAGCATGGATAATTTGTTCTTTATTAAAGTCCAGCCAGTCTCTGGTGTTACTCATCCAGGAAATCCATCATCTACCTCTTCCACATTTATCCTTGACCTTCCTTTCAATGATGCATTGCAGTGTTACTGTGTTTGTCATGATGAGTTGCGTGTCTAGGATGTGAGAGCTTGCGTTCTTAACAATCAACCCTATTTGTTTTCCTATTCAATGAAGTACCACTTTATTCTTTATCCTATCAGTCCATGGGATATAACAGATTCTTCTGTACCTTCGTATTTCAAGAGCATTTGTTGTGTTGAGCATCTCCTTCATACTCCAGATCTCACATTCATATAAGAGGATTGACCATATATAACTCTGTAATATCCTCAGTCTCAAAGATATAAGGCTGTTTGATGTGCAAAGGTGCAGAAACTGTTTCTTAACACAACATTTCCTTAAGCTCCATAGAATTTCTTCCAGCTTTTCCAATACATTTCTTTAATTCTATATTGCAGTCTATGTGGTGGTTAATTAAGCATACTGTACCAGACACATATATTTGTCTACTTGATCTGTATGTGAGTTGTTACTACAGATGGGCACGAAGCGCTTCTGAGTGGGTGCCCGCTGGAGGGAGTGAGGTGCCAAACCACAGAACACCTGTTCAGCCACTAGCTGAACCAGCCCAAAGCACCAAATCTAGTGATTCATGACTATTTCTAGTTTTTCACATAATGTTTGTATAATTTTCTGCATCTCTGCTTTGTAGACTGTGAACCCACACAAATGGGGTTCTACTGTCCCTGTGCAGAGACATTTTGGGAAATTTCTGTAGCTGAGCAGTATTTTTGGCCATGTCCCTGTCCCCTGTAGTGCACATGTGGCACTTTCTCTCCCTTGATTTATTTGCTTTCTTCACTGAAACAGAAATCAGTGGAATCGGATTTTCTCCATGTCTCTCTTTGTGGAACATGTGTTGCTTGGAGCAGAAAAAATCGTTCCTGAGATGCAAGATCTAGTAAAGAACTACGCATCACAGCTTGGAAATGTAAGAAAATTGTCCTCATTTTGTGGGCTACACTACTTTTGTGTTCCCTTGAATGCAGTTAAATATTTACATACCTCAGGTTAAATTGCAAATATTGCAATGCAAGTTAAAATATTTATATATTTCATTTCATTGTCGTGGACTCTACAATTTCTACTTTTTTATTTTTCCTCTTTTTTGGATATTCAACTGGAATTGTTCATATTTGTTTTTATTGCACAATTTCTTTTTTTTTTCAACTTGTTTCTATAGAGCATCCCATGTCCCGATAGAGAAATTGTTAAATGAATGAAATCTGTGAATCATTGAATTGAAACAAATCTATTTCTGAAATAGAATATGTGTTCAGTTTCTGTTCTGTTTTTAAGCTCTTTAATTGATACAATATACAGTGGTGCCCCGCATAGTGACGATAATCCGTTCTGAAAAAATCGTCGCTATCCGGATTCGTCGCTATGCGGGACTAAAAACCCCATAGGAACGCAATAACACACGTTTAATGCGTTCCTGTGGGGAATAAACTCACCGCTATGCGGAAATCCTCCATACGGCCGCCATTTTCGCCGCCCGGTATGCGAGGGAAACCGCATGAAAAAGTTGTGGGCAGCCATTTTTTTCTTCCAGCAGCCATTTGGGAACCGCCGATCAGCTGTTTTTAAAACATTGCAATGCGAAGATCGGTAAGCGAAACGCTTACCGATCATCGTAATGTGATTTTGGGGCATTGAGAATGTCGCAATGCGATTGCTTTTGCCATCGCGAAATCCGCATCGCTATGCGGATTCGTCGTTAAACGGGGCGCTCGCTATGCGGGGCACCACTGTAGTTGTATTGATTTCAGTTTTCGTTATGTTTTTGAGCTTTGAATGTGGACACTATTTTGAGCTTTTTTGCATATTAAAAGCCTTATATCTGCTCATGGAACAGCATAATAATAGACACAAATACTATTCCTGTGTCACCTTATAGACTAGAAAAGGGTGTTATAACAAAAGTGACTTCAATTCATGCTACTAATGAAATGGATTGCATTGTTCCTAAAACTTTAGGCCATAATACATTTATTAGTGTTCCTGCTGTAACAGACTGTTATAACTTCCCCACTGGAAAACAGACTATACTTTCAGCCAAAGTAAACATTGTCAAAAATCCTAATGGGTAGTTCTTCTTCATATCCTCTGTGAATCACAACCTGGGTGATCCACACCTGCGCAGAGCCTCATCGGAAGTTTCTAGAGCTTCTGCAGTAGCAATAAACACATTAGAATAAGCCCCTCTCCTCTGTATAAGTACCTTGGCACCAAGCGTCCCCTTTCTTTCAACCGCTGCATTGAGTGCCTCATAGATTGTTCTGCTTCTGTGAGTAAAGTGAAAGAGAGCGTAATCTTGATTCCTTTTTATTATTATTTCATTTCTCTTATTACAATTGAAAATTTTCAATACTTTTATTAGATTCTTCTTCTCCAGGATCGGCCTCCCGGCTGCCCCTCCCCTTCCAACCCATTTTCTCTTAAATCATTTTTCTCTAAATTCATTGCCCCTTTGGGCCCGTTTAAGCACTGTGTTGTCTACGATAATAAATTCCACTTTCCGACAGAAACGCTGAGTGCCTTTTCTGTTTAGGAGAAGAACATCAAACTTCCTTCTGTACCCATTGCAAAAATTTCACACGTGGAGTTCTCCGGTCCTGCCTTTCTAGGATTAAACTCCAACTTTGGGAACAATCTTTTCTCAGCATTATTAATTTTTTACTTTTTATAACTATAACATAGACATAAATATAAAATACATAAACCAAAATACAGTTTAACTGTGCTACCCACCACCATAGATGGGACCTCTTGCTGTAATCTTCTTCTTCCTCCATCTATATTCTTCCTCTATTGTCCTCTTCTCCAGAACTGCATTGATTCTTGATTTGGAGCTTTCCCCTTTCCTCTTGTTAACACATACAGTATTCAAAAAATCTGCCCCATATTTCATAAAAATTATTCTTTTTCAACTCTCCTTTCTTAACCTTTAAATTACAAGTTAGTTTATCATTTATAGCTATATTCCATATTTCATTATACCAGTCATGGATTTGAAATTCAGATTTTGATATCCATTGCAAGGCTATTATCAGTCTAGCCACTGTTAATAAATTGGTTATCAATTCTGTAATCATCTTATCATATTCCACATTCTAAAATATTGATAACAAAGCAATGTCGGGATTAAATTCAATATCGTTTTCACATATGTCATTTAATTCTTTAAAAATTTGTTTCCAAAATCTTTGTGCTTTTTCGCATTCCCACCATATATGAAAGTATGTACCAATTTCTTTCTCACATTTCCAACAGAAATTCAGATAACTAGCATTAATTTTATTGGTGTTAAATACCATCTTAGACCCAGTTTTAAAAAGTTTTCCTTTATTCTCACTGACATAAATCTTAAAATCCTCATTTTTCATATCTTCCTCTATTCTTCCTCATTTATTCTTTTTCTAATGTCTTGTTCCCACGCTATCTTCAATCCTTTTTTCTTCCTCTAAATCAAGGAGTCCATAAATTTTACTCACTGTACCCTTTACTAAATCAGTCATCTGAATGTCTTCATATGATAATAAAAATTGTTCATACTTTGTGCCTCACAATCAAGATCTCGACACCAACAATCTCTCATACCACAAAATAAAGATAGTCGGTGAATGGACTCTAAGGGCAGATGGTTTTACTCTTCTGCAACCTTCACCATGAGAGCTGCTGATATCAAAGAGCCATGGGAGCTTACCAATGCTTCCTTTGGGATAGTATGTCCACTTTTAGTGAATTCCTACAAGAGGATAGGGACGTGGTGGCGCTGTGGGCTAAACTGCAGAAGCCTGTGCTGCAGGGTCAGAAGACCAAGTAGTTGTAAGATCAAATCCATGTGATGGAGTGAGCGCCCGTCACTTGTCCCAGCTCCCGCCAACCTAGCGGTTCGAAAGCGTGTAAATGCAAGTAGATAAATAGGGACCACTTCGGTGGGAAGGTAACAGCGTTCCGTGTCTAAGTCGCACTGGCCATGTGATCACGGAAGATTGTCTTCGGACAAAACGCTGGCTCTATGGCTTGGGAACGGGGATGAGCACCACCCCCTAGAGGCAAACATGACTGGACAAAAATTGTCAAGGGGAACCTTAACCTTAACCTTTACCTTTACCTTTACAAGAGGATAAAAAGATACTAGCCCAAACCTTCCAACAAGAAGGCCTTTCCATTGCTAAGCAACAGATGCTTTCTGCCTGTCACATTGTAGATGCTGCAGTGAAGTCTATGGCCACTTCGGTAGCCCTGCACCATTTTTCCTGGCTCAGAACAGCCAGCCTCGCTGAAGACCTAGCTTTTGATGGGGCAGGCTTCTTTCATGCTGAAACTGATGACATACTAGAAAATGTACAAAAGAAACGATCAGCAGCTAGACACTGGGGAATCTACCCTCCCTATCAACAACGTCCTCAACAAAATCAATCGAGATGACCTTATAACTCTTATCAGAAGTTCCAACGAGATCCTCCAAGACAAACGTCTTACACGTCCTACTTTAAAAATCAAAGAGCCAAACCCCGGCAACAGCCTGGCACTAGGCAAAATGACCAGAAACCCAAACACCGTGGTTGACACTCCTCTGACAGAGATCACAACGCAACCCACCAACCTTGCCCTTTGGAAACACTTACCTGTGTGGGAATCCATCACCACAGATGCCTGGGTGCTGTCTGTCATCAAAAACAGCTACCACATCCATATCTTTGACATTCCCCCAGCAGCTCATGTAATCACTCCACCTTCACAACCTCTGCAAGAAGAAATAACAAATTTACTTCTCAAAGACGCAATACAACCCGTCTAGTGAAACAACAGTTTTTTTTCTCTTGCTATTTCACCATCCTCAAAAAGACAGAGGGCTTCGCCCTATCTTAGATTTCAGACAACTAAACAAATACATCATTGCCACAAAATTCTATATGGTTACCCTAGAATCAGTTTTTCCCTTACTTCGAAAGAATTGACTGGTTCACCATCATAGACCTAAGGGATGCTTGCTTTTATATTTCAATACGTCCTACACACAAAAAATTCCTCCATTTTCAACCAGGATCAGAAGCTTACCAATTCAAAAAGCTCCTATTCGGCCTTGCAACAGCTGCAGGAGTATTCACCAAGTGCATGGCACCGGTAGCCGCGTACCTCAGACTCCAAAACATTCTCATCTTTCCATATATCAACAAATGGCTCCTAGTAGCATACTCCCAAAGCTCAACGAGAAACCCACTTCACCCTCGCCCTCCTTCACAATCTCAGTCTTACTGTCAACGAACAGAAATCAAGTTTAATACCTGCAAGGACTGTACATTACATAGGCACACTCATAGACTCCATACAAGCCGGCGCCTTTCTTCTTACAGACGAGAGACAAACTTGATCACGTTGCTTCAGGGTTTCACCCCTCATGCCTTAATACCCACTATAACAGTACAACAGGTTCTAGGCACCATGGCCTATATGACATCAGTCGTACAACATATACAGCTAAAAATGAGATCAATCCAATCCTGATTTCTCGCCCTATTTGGTCTGTTAACAGACCCTCCTCACACACTCCTAAGGGTCACTCCAGAACTCACCTCCCAACTTCAGTTGTGGTGTTTTCCTCCCAACCTTTCTGTCGGGCGGCTGTTTCGACAACAGCATCTGCAAATACAAGTCACTACTGACGCCAGCCATACAGGCTGAAATACAAGTCACTACTGACGCCAGCCATACGGGCTGAGGGGCTGACTGCAAATCCCTCAAGATTGACACCAAACGCACTGCAAATCCCTCAAGATTCACACCAAACAGTTTCACAGAGAGAAATTGCTCCACATAAACAAATTGGAGCTATTGGCAGTCATAAAAGCCTGCAGAGCTTTCAAGAATCTTCTTGTAGGCAAAATGGTACAGATTGCCACTGACAACACCACAGCAATGTACTACATCCTCAAACAAGGAGGCACCCCCTCTCCAAGTCTTCTTAGTGAAGTGATGTCTACAACATCACATCTGTTTCACAGCTTTACACATCGCTGGTCACGACAACGACCTAGCAGACTTGCTGAGCTGCACGAATGCTCAAGCTCACGAATTAAACTAGATCAATCAGTATTCTGTCAACTTTGCCAGAAATGGGGCACACCGACTCTCGACCTCTACGCCTCCTGAACGAATCGAAAGCGCAAACTATACTGCTCCCGAGCGGTAATCGGCAAACACTCCCAAGGAGACACGTTTGTTGGCCATTGGCCCAAAACCCTTACTTACCTTTTTCTGCCGCAAGGAGACACGTTTGTTGGCCATTGGCCCCAAACCCTTACTTACCTTTTTCTGCCATTCCCACTCCTCCACAAAATCGTGGTCCATCTGTGAGCAAGACAAAACCAATGCCATTGTTATATCCTCTTGGTGGCCGAGACAGACTTGATTCCCAGTACTCTGCAGTCTCTCATCAGACACCCACCACCTCCCCTGCCTGCCACATCTCCTCACACAGAACAACTCCCGAGTCCTCCACCCGGACTTATGTGTTCTTCACCTGGCAGCGTGGAGGATTCCCCCTCGCTAATGGATGTTCTCCATCGGGCTAAGAAACCATCCACAAGGAAGGCCTAACTATATAAATGGAAGAAATTCCAGTTTTTCACTGAATCTTCCTCACTACCCTCCATCAACCCATCACTCTCCACCGTTCTCCACTTCCTACTCCATCTCAAATCCAATGGTCTTTCCATCTTCTCCTTACAAGTACACCTTTCTGCAATAATTTCATACCAACCTCCAAATTCTCCAGCAGCCAATTTCTTCAAACATCCGATGAAACTTTTTCTTAAAGGTCTTTCTCATACTAATTCTCATTTCTGATACTCAACCTCCCTCTCGACAATGGTCATTAACAATTGTCTTGAAACAACTTGCCAAAGTTCCTTTCAAGCCTTTAGCCATGACTGATTTACGACTCCTCACTTTTAAGATGGCTTTTCTCGTAGCTATCACTTCAGCTCGATGAGCTAGTGTTTTGGCAGCCTTACGCTACAACTAACCTTATCTACAATTTTTTCCCGATAAGGTGAAATTATTCATGAATATTTCCTTTCTCCCCAAAGTTTGATTTATAATTCTTTGCTTTAAATTGAAGATTTTTTTCCCTTTTGGGGAAGTAACTTGCTTTGGTCAGGCCCATGGCATGATAAACTTGGAAGGCTTCCATTTTCATATGTGTTTATTTATCTATAATACATAAATCATCTCTCCAAATATTCAGGGTAGCTAACAAAAAATTAGCAGAAAAAATACACAATTAAAATAAAGCATTAAGGGTTGCAACCTTAAACACATCTACTGAAAAGTAAGCCCTATGGATATTAGAGGGACTTACTTTAGAGTAAACATGCTTAGGAGTGTATCTTAAACATACACACTTACCTGGGAATAAGTAATGCTGATGTCAAGTGACCATACTTAGCTGGCATCCATAGGATTGTTCTATATAATAAAAATACAGTGGTGCCTCACATGATGATGATAATCCGTTCCATAGAAATCGCTGTCTTGTGAAAACATCATCTTGCGAAAACCCTTTCTCCATTGGAATGCATTGAAACCTGTTTAATGTGTTCCAATGGGGAAAAACCATTGTCATTTTGCAAAGATCGCCCATAGGGGAGCCATTTTGCGAAGCGCCGATCAGCTGTTAAAATGGCTGTCCTGCGAAGCATCGGTCCCCAAAACACCCGTTTTGCGAAGTGCCGATCCATGCCAGAATCATCACCTTGCAAGAAATGGTTTGCGAAGCATGGACCCAAACATCGTCCAGCAAAAATCGCCCATTGAAATCACTGTTTTGCGATTCGCTATAGCGATTGCAAAACTTCATTGTCATGCGGATACGTCGTTTTGTGAGGTCGTTGTCTAGCAAGGTACCACTGTAATCCACATAATAAAGCTGAGTGGCACAATTTGTGCATGTTAATATGAATAACTTAATGTTTTGCATCTGTTCAAGGTCCTTCCTGTTCACTTTTCCTATAAGTCTGGAACGTGACAACACTGTTGTTTTTTTCTAGTGCTTTCAAGGGGGTTCTGAGATAAAAACTCACAGCACTTTCACTGCAGTGATGAAAGTAATTCGCCACTGCAAAGAGGATATCAGTTCAGCATTTTGCAGGTAATATTGGGGGGGGTTGTGTGTTATGTTTCGGGGGTGTGCCTTTGATTTGCCCTTATTTTGGGGTCCTGGAATTAATATTCTGTCTGGAGGTCAAAAAAGGGCTATAGACTTGTGACCTGCATTGTTCCTGTGATGAAGGAAATGCATCAAGGAGTATTGCATAAGAACAATTCCAGATGTTCTGTTTTGCTTTGCAAACAGTCGCTGTGAGAGAGGAAGTAGGCTTGCCACTAGCAGAGCCCATGCACCAGCACTCTCCAGAGATCAGTGCAGTTTCACAGCAAGAGGAGGACCTGGCCCTGCCATTCCAGATAGCAGTTGAGAGGCCTGGGAATAGCAGGGGAAGGCACCGTGCTTGGGAATGACCTCTGCTCAGCAATGTGCCAGCAGTCTTCCCTGTGGCCAAGCAGCTGGCTGTAGACAAGGGGAGTGAAGCACCCAAGAGGCAGAGCACATGGGCAGAGGTGGGAGATTTGTAGGAAAGCTGACTGGAGGGCGAGATGAATGCTTATGGAGAAGCGGGGAGGTAGAATGAACTTGAAGGAAGGAGAAGAGAAACTTAGAGGGAAACAGGCAACGGGAGAGAAGGAGGCTAGCGGTGCTGAGAAGGGAAGGGAAGAAACCCCTCTGGATTTGTGCTGGCCAGAAGGCCACAAGGCAGGAGGCTGAGCTCACCGTTCCAGAGAAGACCAGAAAACAGAGGAGCTGTCCCTCCATGGAAGATTCCCTGGATCTTGCTGTCTGGAGAAGGGAGTTCCTTGTCCGGTGCAGTCTTACTGATGCCTGCCTGCACTCACAGCTCCTTCCTGAGCCACAGTATTGGACCACCCTAGAGTAGGGTTGACTGGGACATGGGAGCAAGGTGGGAGAAGCACTCACTGGAAGACAGCATCCTAAGGATTTGTGTCCCAGTGAGGAAGCCTCCTTGTATCGAGAGAAAGGAAGACGGGGAACCCTGATGCGGAAACTCTGAGGGCAGCCCAAGTGGCCCAATGCCTGGAGTGCATGTGCAGGCGAGAGAGACCTGGCTGCCTTTTTTTGGCTGTGTCTGATGTTCAAAGATACTTGTGGTTTAGATGGGGAATAATCAGCGTTATAAAAGCCATTCTGTTGGCAGCAAGAAACAAAAGAGCAAAACCCTAAAACCTTGGTAGGATCACAGCAGGCTAGAGAAAATGAGACTGTGAGGCAGAATTTGAGTCAAAGATAGGAAATAATAAAATATTGTCTAAATTATAACTGTGTGTAGTTGTTTTTGTAACACCTGATGAATTTGTTCCAAACACATGGGGATCACTCAGACAGGGATCTGGAAGAGTAGTTTTGATTGTCCAATTGGATAGACCTATTTATATGGGAGAAAGGAACCATCCAGAACGGCTCTGCCTCTGTGTAAGATTAGAACTAAACTAGACCTGTGGCAAAATGGGGGAGTGGAAAACTTTTTTACATTGTCTTACTTGCTGTGCAATGAAGACACTTAAGTGTTCTGATTTTTTTTTAAAAAAAACTGTTAATTACATACAAAAATGTGCATGAACCGTTGCTGTTGTATTCACAGGTATGGTCTGAAGCCATGTCCCATTTGTTTGGGAGATCCTGGAAATCCAGTCAGCCTCCCCTGTGACCACGTGTTCTGCCACACTTGTATCAAACAGTGGCTCGTGCCTGGACAGATGTTGTGTCCTCTCTGCCTTTCCAATCTACCAGATGACTATACTCTCACAATATCCAAGGAGCTCAGGTAAAGGCTTATCATTGATATACCATATGATAATCCTGATGCTAACTTTGGACCTTTGACCTTAATTTCTGAAGATCTCATACTACCCTTTCTCCCATGTTATCTGATGCAAATTCCGCAACCAAGGAGATGAATAATACCTGGCCTGTTTCTCCCACAGTGTTGCCATAGAAAGAAATGCCCAGTTCCGGAAGTTTTGCAACAGTTTCTTCCTAGACCTGGTCTCTACAATGTGTTTCAAAGACAACGAACCACCGGAAAATGCTGTGATTCAGGAGCTGTTGAATTTGTTGTTTGTTCGTAAGGAATTTTTGAGAAGTATGCTCCTATGTCCATATCAGTTCTTTTACATTGAATAAACTGGCTCTGTTATTTCTCTGGTCTAAGTTGTGCTATATTTTCAGGCTCTGGTAGCTGCAATGTACATACAAAATCTCTGTCCCCTTTTGACGATGTGGTGGATAAGACTCCAGTAATCCGTTCTGTGGTACTAAAGTTGCTTCTGAAGTACAGGTGAGGACCTTCATTCATGGGCACTGGGCAAAATCCTCTTGCTTTGCTACATAGGCGTGACCTGCTATGTCTGCAGTAGCTGTAAGACTGCCGAGGCTGAAGTGCTGTCCATAAATTGCTATCAAGCAGCACAGTTCCTTGTTATCAGGCATAACGACTGGTACATTTATGTGGGCATAATGTAAAAAAAAACCATGAACATGAATCCTGCTTGGATGGGATTTTGCCTACTATATCCGATTTCTCCTTCAGTATTAACACTGTCCATCCCCTTGAAGCCCTCTCTGGCAGTCCTAGTGGGGCAATGACGTCTTCACTAATTTTCACATTAGCGAATCGTACACTCCTCAGGTGGTCACAGGTACCTCCTTGTCAACTTTTAACATCTTAAACCAACCCACTGCTCCTTAGTGCCACTAGGGAATGCATTTGTCTAAAAGGAAAATGATCTCCTAAACGGAGTATTGTGGGTTGTCCCTTCTGTTCTTCTACAGCCGCCCTGCTTCTTTTATTATTCAGGTGCTTAGTATGTGGGTGCATTATTGCCTGTTCGTAGTTTCTTAGTTACACATAAAATAAATAAATGAAGAGAGTTTGATTTAAACAAGCAAAAACATTTATTGAGGGACCACAGGTAATGAATATGAAAGGAAATGAAAGTTGTAAGTTATGAATGATAAAGATCAAAACAACAGTAAAATGTAGAAATATTTTTTGCAATTCAAGATCAAAATCATTTCTTTACGAACTCCCTGACACCCACACATTCTGGAGCTTCTAGACAGATTCCATCTCCTGATTGACTTTAAAACATGCTTCTTTTTCTCTCTCAAGTCCCTGACTACATGGACAGTTGTCCCACTCTTTTGTCTGCTCTGGGGACAGACTAATTCACTCTTGTGGGTGATAAGTACCAGCACAAACCATCCCATACCCGGAGCGTTCCTACTCACACCTTTCTGACTCTCTGTCATGGGCTGTGTTTTAGGTACAGGTAGGATCACTCTGTTCTGGCTCAATTCCGGGGTGTGTGATTGATGGGATTGAACCAAAGCATCTGGCAGGCGGTCCCTTTGGAGAAGCTTCTTGTTGATCTTAACAATCTTGAAAAATGGAAAACTTCTGCTCCACTCTTTTTTAGGACAGGGGAGATGAAGTTTTGCATTTCTATTTAATGGTTACTAATGTACCAGCAATGTTTTTATAAGCCCTGTCAAAGCATTGCTGGTGTGCTCATTCAGTGTAGGACCATTAAAAAAGAAATTTTGTCTAATGAGTGGACGTTTTCCATCTCTCGCCATTCTTAAGAGTCTTCGCCAAAAGGACAGCCAGCCAGCTGCTTAACAATCAGATCTTTCCCTTTAAAGGTAAAGAATCTTTCCTTTAGAAAGGAAAGATTTTGATCACCCTAAGAAGGGTTGCTTGAGGTGCAGTGTGGTTTTCTTTACCCAAACCCCCTGATACGTGCATCTGGCTGCAAGGCTCGCACTAGGCACCTCTACGTGACACTGTGTGACATTAAGTGACCTTTCTTAGCCCATTCCAGCCAGTTTTGCCATCTAACCAAGCTCTAACTCATCACACAGATCAGATCTCCCTAGTACATTATAATCATACCAACCAATCAAGATCCAGACATTCAATTGCTAGTCACATCAGCACTCTACCAGTGCATATTCATTTGACTGCATTTCAGATGGGTCTTTTGTGACACCACAAATCTTCATTCATTTTCAAAATACTGTTAATAGTAGTAGAAGCCATTGGTTTGTTCATTAATAACAGGTGTCTTTGTTTCCATAGCTTTGATCATGTGAAAGGCTACCTACAGAAGTATTTATCACAAGTAGAGAAAACTTGCCTCCTTGAAAAAGAAGATAAAATAGAACTATACACACTATTTGTCAACTGCTTTGAGGTAAGAGCATTTTCCCAACCTCCTCTTCTAATTGTAGAGGGCCAACCTGGCCAGGGGGGAT